TTTTGGGTATTCTGTTAAAGGAATTCCAGTTGGTCGTGGATCTGTCCAATGCCCTGTGGTGGTGGGGGCCATGGCACGACTCTCGGTGACATCAGGGAGAGAGCTTTATAGTTGTAACAACAGCATAGGGCTGCCAGCATATATGAAGTCTTTTAAGAGACGCCTAAAAACGGATGGGCTGCCAAATTTGCTGGAAGAGTATTCCACAATGTGAGACCAACAAAAATATCTGCCCAACAGGCCTCTGTATCACAGCGGTAAACAGCACTCTTCCAGATTATCTCACTGATTGGGCTGGGATAGATAGAAGGGCTCAGGCAGTCCTTAAGGAATGTTGGACCTAAGTTGTTCAGGGCTCTGTACCTGACTTGATATGCTCATCTCCCCAGATAGTAATCAGTGAATTGTATTATGAGCAGAATGTGAATGTGAAGGCTGCTTGTGCACTATTTAACCCCAAGAAACATAGATGCCTGGCTTGAAAGCAGAGGTTGATTACCTCAGAGGAAAGGTATAGTTTATGTTTCCGGAAAATAGTGGAAATCTCCAGCCCTTTTGGAATTACGGGCGGAAACAAGCAGGGGGAGTTGCAATGGCTGAAAACGAGGGGGGAAATCCGCAATTATTTTAGGCTTTCGCGTTGTCAATGCCAAGCGACATCTTTTGAAGCCAAAGAGGATATTTCTGAGATCAAAGTGCCCAAATAGGAAAAAAGCAACTAAAATCTGATAATAGATGAACGAAAACTTATACTCCCTTCTTAGAAAATAGTTTGATTACCACCAATAACAACAGGGGATTTTTTTTTACTTTGTGCTGTAAGACTCATGGGGCAGTGGCCTTTCCAGGAGGTCTGCAGATCAAATTGTCTTCAAAGAAACATCTGAACCCAACTACTTCCACTGTCCCCACGAGTGCTTCTCTTTTACCCCTTTATTTCTCATAACAGATTACCAAAAGAAGAACCTTATTTAGAAACTAATATTTGAACACTGCTAATCACATTTCAAAACCAAGTTCAAAGTCTGGGAAGGTACTGCATTCTCTACCATAAAATAATGGTCTGAAAGAGGCAATAATACTTTCAGGATCTCATGAAAGCACTAATAAAACGGCTGGCTTAAAGAGTTTGCAATGCAAAGTTCTCTGCTCAGATCTGTTGGCTGAAATCTCGTCCCTTGAACCCACTCACAAGGTGGCGTATCACAGCCATCGTCTCTTAGAGCTCTTCCCAGTCAACTGCAATATGAAGATAAGTAATGCCACCTACCTTACAGGGCTGTTGTAAGGATTGTTGAGATAGGCAAATAGTGTGTTGTAAAAGGAAAATGCAGTCATTATTTATTGGAAGATCTTGCCTCTTGTAATAGGTAAATCAATCTCTCTCTGTATTTTACTGAATTTAGCAGTCCAGTATATTATCATTATAATGCATTTTCACGAGGTGATTTTATATGTCATGGACCAATAGTAGTAATTTTAGATGCTGCAACAATCACTTCCAGATCTTTTAAAGTGTGAAACAGAAATGCCAGATTTAAGACCTTGCCCCCGAAAACTCCATAACCACACATAAAGCACTGCCTTATAAATCTTCCTTCTGTTATGTTATTATTGTGGTTGAGAAATTCATCCATAAAACAACTTGATATGGTCATACATTCTGGGAGTGTTTGAAATACCACAAATCCACTCCTGTTTTAGAATAGAAATTATTACACTGTGAAAGGCATGAGGGGATAGATGTGCACCACAAATTAATACAGGAGAGCAACAGGAAATCTGCAAATAAGGGACAAACACTCATTTTTAATATAAAAAAATGAGAGGTGCATTAAGCAGAAAAAAATGTGTTTTTTTGTAATTCTCTTGTCAATCTCTAGCTAGTTAAAGCAGAATATAATCTGAACTGTAACATAAAATAAAAGATTTAAAGCATCATGAGAATAGAAGGAGGAAGCAATTTAGCAAGAAGTTGCTTTGAGCTTTCTGGCGTTCTAATTTTGGGGGTTCGGATGTTTTTGGATGCACTGGGCATCAGTCAAGTGATTTCCACCACCTGAATATGTTCTGATGTGGCACAGTCCCAGGAACAATGTGCTACCTTCTTTTCTCTGAGCGTGCAAATCGTCCCTAATTGCTGGGATTACACGCACTGTTTCAGCACTTCCAGTGTCCACAATCCAGGCCCGTAGCATAACTCAGCTTGCACTGTGAATCCTGCCACTTCACAAAGATTAAGAGGGGCTGGCCATCGACTATACTGACTTGGGCTGCTGGGAGCTGAAGTCTAACAACTTCTGGAGGACCACATGTTCCCCATCACTGGTATGCTCTATCATGCCTGGAGGGGCTTTTGGAAGCTGCCCATTCTGAATGCCTTTGAGCAGCTGTTCTGATTTAGCGCAGTTCTGTGTAAGAGAAATATAATGCAAGCCAAAGGATTATTCCCCCCCCCTCGAGCTTCATCTTTTGATAAGAAACACTGCACAGTCGTAACCAAAACTAATGAGCTGGTGATCTGAGGCTTGTTTGCTAGAACAACTTACTTACTCTGCATATGTGTCCTGCTTAGAGAAAACACACACACTTCAGTTTCTGAAGGATCTGAAAGGGCTGTATGCTTTAAGAAGGAGAAGAAGATGACTATGCTTCATACAGATTTAGCCTGGAATTCGTGGAGATTCCTTCTCGAAAAATAATTTGGGGGAAATGAAGTGAAAATGAATGGTTGCCAGTTCATGACTCCTTCTCCAGAGGGGCAAGACGCAATGATCAAGAGTGGTGGCTCAACCGTACCATCTAGTACAGACCTTCTAGAATACAGCAGAACACTGGTTGCAAATTTTGCCGCTTTGCATTCTCAAGTCCAGAGTTTCACCAGCTGTCTGAGTTTCCATACACTCCACCTCTTATGTGTTGCTGATTCCTTTTTTTTTTAATTCTTCTTCTTTCTAGAGAGAGACCTTTTTGGAGCCGAACCTTTTGACCCTTTTAGCTGCGGAGCAGGAGATTTCCCTCCAGACATTCAATCCAAACTAGACGAGATGCAGGTGACAAAACCTTTGCCATTGCAAAAATGTTGTTTCTATTGCCATGTAAATATCAGGGGGCATTGTTTGTGCTGTAGGCGGCATGATCATGGCCTGTGTTGCAAGGGGGGGGGGAGGGAAATAGGATTCATTCAGTTGTTAATAATAGAGTGTTTATCCATCTCAAGCAGAGGTACTTTTTCTGGGGTTCTCCACATGTGCCGTTTCCGTCATCCATTACCACTGTCCATGCTGCTGGTAGTCCCAACAACATCTAAGGAGAACAACACTGGCAATAAGTGAATCAGTGTTCAGAATCCTTAGAGGATTTAGTGCTTATTCTATAAGCTTTTGTAGCACTTCTGCAGAGGAAATGGGGTCAATATTACTGTTCATGCTTCCTCTAGAGAAGAACTATTTATCCCTTGTGGGCTACATGGAGGGTGCAGTTTTGAAGATCTGAATGTAACCACTACAACAGTGATGGCCAAACTTGGCCCTCCAGCTGTTTTGGGACTACAACTCCCATCATCCCTAGCTAACAGGACCACTGGTCAGGGATGATGGGAACTGTAGTCCCAAAACAGCTGGAGGGCCAAGTTTGGCCATCACTACACTACAAGACCACCAAGGAAGAATGCACTCACTGCAAGCAAGCCTTAATATCTATCTGTAAAACACATTTTGCTCTTTCAAGGTACAACACACCGCCTAACTATAATATTGCTTAGGCTCCTAACCAGGTTTGATTCTTGCCGTTTGGAGTCCTAAAAAAATGTCTCCTTCTCTTCCCTTCCTCCTCCTTTCATATGCCAGCACTTCATTGTCCATGTTGCCTGCCTTTCTACGTTCTTTAGGCCCAACAGGACTTCTTTAAACCTATCCCCACCCACTCAAATACATAACAAATGGTAGCCCGCTGGGTTTATCCACTCATTTCTCAATCACGATCCCTTCTCTAGTCACCCCATCCTATCTGTGTATGGTTAATCAGCTACTCACACTTCATTTCAAACCCACAAGACCCCTTGCCTATCTTTCTTCATCACTGCTGGGTATCTTTGCCCATTGACTGGCCTTTGCTTACCTCCGTGTAGTGGTTAGGCCTCCACCATCCCCTCACTACTCTTCCTGATCCATTCACACACAGGGCAGTACAGGCCAGTTGGGTGCAGGGCTAGTGGCAAGAAACACCTTTCCTTTTAGCTCCTCTGTAACATTATTCCACTTTTTCCACCCCAATACCCGTGGTTTTTGACAGTATACCATGTGAGACCAAACTATACCAAGTGCATGCACAAAATATTTATATCTATGTGTGACGAAATACCATAATTACCTTTCCAATCTCAACAGTGGGGAAATTATAATTTACTTCAGAAAATGAACTTGGTTGCAATCAACTTTATATTTACTTCTGAATATTTTGTAAGATAAACTTAGTTGCAATTATTTTATACTATTCGGTTTAGTTGTTTGTGAGATCTGTAACTAGGAGCAAAATCCTATGCATATCTACTTGGGCGTAAGTTCTCTTGAGTTCAATGAGACTTGTTCCACGTAATTGTGTATAGAATTGTAGCCTAAATTAGAAATGTTATTACCGATGTTAACCAATCTGCCAGAAGCTCTAATATTTCTTCTGTCTCTTTGTGCTTTCGTGGGTGTGCAGCGTCAGCGATGGTTGGTATATATATATTTTTAATGAGTTTCGATTCATGTCCTATAAAGTATAATAACGTTGATGTCTGAGATCTAAACTTTAGCACTTCAGATTGCTAGATTTCCATTCTTTTTCATTTTTCATGTGGTAAAATTTGAGAAATTCATGCAGGCTCCTTTCAGAGAGGTATTGACTTTTGTCTGTAATAGCTCACTATGCTGTACATACACATTATGTAAGAATGAGTTCTTTTATTCAATCTGAACTTTAAAACTCAGGGGAAATGTTATTACTTCAGACAGAGCAGGCAAGATGGCTACCATTTCTGTAAAATAGAAGCTTTTGCGGGGATGCTGTGCTCTGGGTATATGTGCACTTGAAGTGCCCTCAACCATGCATATGATATGTATTAAAAAAGACACTGCTGCAGATGTTTGATCATATAGGGACCTAATTCACAATGTTCTTCCCACTCCCCATTCACTGAGATGGAAGAACAGTTTCATACATTAGGATAAATGCACCATGGATAAAAAAAAGGTGTGCATTGCTAAAGAGCCACACCGCCACCGATATGAGCCAGGAATCTGCTTTGTATTTTGACTTGCTAAAACCTGACCCTTTGCCAACAAGTATATATTACCTTCCCCAGGCATTCTTTCCCAGAAAATAGAAGGCATGTGCATTGGGCTGATTCTTTACAGTCACATTCCCAATTCTGTCATCCAAACATAAGGCTTTTTACATGTAGGTCTCTAAGGAATTGAATCAATGCACGTGTCTTCTGTTGTTGTTTTGTTTTTTCAGTAAAAGAATACTTATTTATTCTTCAGCTCTAGCCAGTACTGTAATCCAGAGGGCTACCTTTCAAATCAGCCATGTTTGTAGCATATTTGATTTATAGGTCAAACTGAAATCCTATAAGCCCACAGGAATAACCCTTATAAAAGCACCTCTATCTTGCCAAGAATCACTCCTTATCTTGAAGGTTGCCTCTTGCCAATTTGTACGTAAGGCAGTCTACGCTGCCATGGTCTAAAACAGAGCCATCGTATTCTCAGTTCTTTATCCAACTAGATCCATTCCAGCTCAGAATGGAACTGCATACTTTTTCTCCATTTGCAAGCCTGATACAGTGGAATGTGACACAACCCACTGTATATTTTCAATCAGGGTTTGACCTTGACACTTGACACATCACACACACACACACACACACACACAACTTTTGCAGGCTACATACATGTTCCACTGCCACCGCCACCTCCAAAAACTGACAAAATGCAAACGTTCAAATTCACTTTTTAAACTTCACATTAGGCAGATATTTGATGGGGACCCTGATCTCAAACTGAGGGTGCTTTTCTCATATAGATAGTGAGATATATTGTAAATGTCATTCATACTGTTCATCTATAATTAACGGGACAGTGGAAACAGGCAGCTTAAGGCTCAATAGAAGTAACATCAAAAGCATATGATGTGTGTGTGTGTAATTAAAGCACATTAAATTTTTAAAAAGCAGTCACACAAACACACACACACACAGAGAGAGAGAGAGAGAGAGAGAGAGAGAGAGAGAGATTAGTTTCATTCTCTATGAAACAAACCAGATGAGAATGTATTACAGAACTCAAAAGAGCCTATTCCTGCATGGCCAACTCTTTCTTTCTTTTCTTTTTTTAAGGTGAATTCCACAGTTATAAGAATGAGCATTTCTCAATAGGCGTTTGTAAAATACCGCATTTTCTCACTGTTTCCTGTTTGTTTGTTTGTGTTTTCCTTCCTCTGTTTCAGGAGGGGTTCAAAATGGGACTGACTCTGGAAGGCACAGTATTTTGCCTTGACCCTCTAGACAGCAGGTGCTGATGCCAGGAAAAGAACCGTGAAAAGATATCGCCATCTCTTTTTTTTTAGGAGGGGGAAAAAAGTTTTAAAACGTATTACAAATACTGTCAATGTGCCAAAAATGTTTTTTTTCAACTTGTTCACTTTTGTGAGGTTTGCTTCTGTGAAACTCCAGATAGGTTCCAGTGTTATCCCTGTACAAATGTAAAAAGTCACACGTGTATATGAAACCAAAATGAAATCACACTGCTGTCTTTCTTAGTCATCTTCCGCCACCCAATGGCAATTCACCATGTGCTGTGAAGTTCTTCGAACTATTCATGCAACGCTATAGAATCCCCTCAGTTGGTTTCTTCATTCCCAGTATGTAGGGCCCTGTTCATACATTTTTGTTGAAAATCGCCCAGATACTGCATACCACAGTTCACGCAGTCCATAAGTCCTTGTTTCTGGCCATGATTCAAGCTGCAGTGCGCTCTGTGGTTCTTCACATAGACTTTCCCACATTCATGGCTGTACTTTAACATAAAGGGAGTGATGGAGGCAGTTCCAGTTTACTCTCCCAGCATCACCTATTTGAGGTGCTTCAGATGTTGTCAGGCTCCAACTCTCATCAGCTCCAACTAACATGACTCTCATCAACCCTAACTAACTAGCACGTTGGGAAGATCGGAGCTGAAAACCAGCGACACCTGGGGAACCACAGATTCCTTTCCTAGCTTTAAGAATTTTGATTAGGCGCATAAGCTTATTTTTACATTCCTGGTGGTGTTTGTCGTTTGGAATCTGCTTCACAAAAAGCTATGTTTTTCAGTGGCGAGTGATTGTCTGTTTTCACATCTACATGTGCACACAAGCGCTCTTCTGCACTCAGAAGCATATTTAGGAGGTGAGGTCCGATAGCCGACTCCTCAACACAGATGTTTTGGAAATCCTGTTGATTTCCAAGTGGAGGCAGTCTAAAAGTCACTGCTAGGTTGTGCATGTCAAGTTGCTATGTACAACGGGAAAAATCCAGCTCAGATTGCCTTATGCACACACGCTTTAGCTAAGAGAAGACACCCTCGATGTTTTGAGGTCAGGCCCTCTGCGAATTCCAGAGGGTTTGAGAGTACATCCTTCAGGATCTTGGAAGCCTGGAGAATCATCTGGAAGCACACAAAGGAGTTCTGCTGCTGGGTCATATGGAACCCTATGAAAGCTGCTTGGATCATACATTTGGCAAATAAGCTTACTGTGCAATGTACATGTCATTTATGGGTGCATAATTTGATAACAAATAACCCAGAGAAGAATGGTGGGGACAGGTTATCCTGTTGTCATTTGTAATTCTGTGCAGAAGCCCATTCCTGAGCATCAGTGTATTTTTCTTCCACTAGCCTTCAAACTAGCAATAAATGAACATTTCGTTTGTGCATTTCTTGCATTCACCGGTGGAATTGTTCCTTCCTGTTTCCATATTTGCCATCACTTTTCTCATTTTTTAAAGTGTGTGTGTATGTATACACATTTATATATATATACATATATATGTATATACAATAATTTTTTTTGGGGGGGGGGAGATTCCTCTCCTGTAAGGATCCTTTCACTGAAAAGACTTTTGGGGGGTGGGGAGGGTGGATGCGAAGGACAAATAAGAGAAGACACTTAAGAGATTATTTTACTGCTTATATCTTTTAGACGGGGAGAAAAGAACTAGTTTTCTGGTACTTGGGTTGAAAAAAATAATAGCTTTTGACCTTATATTGTGAGGTTTACACAGAAAATAGAATGCATTTATGCAATATTATTACCTTTTTTTAAAAAGCTTTGTTCCAGCCTCGGAAGACGCTTACGCAGATGCCTGGACAGTCTGGGATTCTTCACTTGCTTAAAGTTAAGCATCTGCTTAGGCACTGCGGCTCCAGCGAGCCTTTCCTATTTTTGCATTGTGTTAAGTCTTCCTTCTTTTTCGTTGATCGGTCTGAATGTATACCTATATCTATGGACAGGATCCAAAGAGAACTGCCTGCGTACGTAAAGTGCTTCTGCACATGTACGGGGAAGAATGCAGGCTCTCACATCACACTGAACACCATTCCAGAGGGTCGCCTGACTTTACAGAAACTGCCTTGGTGAGGACGCAAGGATGGTGGCTGCAGTAGGAAGGTGTGGGACAAACACTTGCAGTGCGCATGCAAAACACCACAAACAGTCCTTTGGATCATGGCCTATGTGTCTGTCGATATAGTTATATACATATATATATATGGAATCACTAATGAGTAGAGTAGACTATGTTTCCTAGAAAGAAATCTATAATTTTGTTTGTCCTATAGTATTTTGCAATTTGTACAACGAGGTTGTTTAGTAGCCATATCAATGGCTTTTTAAAACAAATAGAATTTGTATTTTTATCGTACTTTTAAAAAAGAAAGCTTTACGTAATAAGCATATATTTAGGGGCCGTTTACTACGGATGGTAACGAAACACTCAGAAAATATTTGCACATTTTAAGAAACCTTTGTTTTACTGATTTTTACGTGGGTTGATTCTACGAAATGCTAAATATGATCTAACCGATCTCGTCAGTACAAGGACACCTAAATTAATTCAGCGAGAAAGTACATTTTTAACGAGAGGGTTCTAGTGTTCTGGTTGAAATTTGTATTTCTATGTAATCTCAAACTGTCTGTTTAATTTTGCTCCGAATAAATGTTTTAAATAATTTTGTCTTGTGGAACAGAACTTTTATTTAATACTGATCCGCAGTGCAAAGAAAATGGTAAATATAAAATAAAAACGAAGAAGCACCTACCAAACAAGAAAAACCACAAAACTCAACAACAACAAAAATGGGGCCTGCAACAAAACATTGCAGTTCACAGTACTCCTGTTCACCTCCCACACTCCCAAGGGTGCATAGGCGCTGGGAACCTGGGTGCCCAAGCATACGCAAAATTGCCAATGAAGGGGCCGGGCACCCACAAATTGTGCCAGGGGCACAGGCACACCCCTGCAGAGGTCCCAGGCAGGTGCAATAGTGGGACCAAGCTTCTGCAAAAGTGTAAGTATTCTGTGCCTAATGGTACTGCTCTGTCTTCATTGAGCTGTTCGTTTGCTACTTTGGGTTGTTTTGGTCTGCTTATGTCCAGCTCCGAGGTCCTTCTGGTGGTTCCCTCATTGCGAGAAATGAAGCTACAGGGAACCAGGCAGAGGGCCTTTTCAGTAGTGGCACCAGCCCTGTGGAACACCCTCCCATCAGATGTCAAAGAAATAAACAACTATCTGACTTTTAGAAGACATGTGAAGGCAGCCCTGTTTAGGGAAGCTTTTAATATTTGATCATGTTTTTAATATTCTGTTGGGAGCCGCCCAGAGTGGCTGGGGAAACCCAGCCAGATGGGCGGGGTATATATTATTATTATTATTATTATTATTATTATTATTATTATTATTATTATTACCCTCAGGGTTGTTGTGAGGATAAAATGGGGGGTGGGGTGGAGAACCATGTCTGCTACCTTGAACTCCTCGGACGAAAGACAGGATCTATTGGGAGGGGTTCAATGTTGCACTGGGGAAATGGTTCCATCAGCACAAGTATTTTTCTGCTCGCCAGACAGAATTATCTCCCCTCTCCCCATATGCTGTTCTGGGAGTTCTCCCATATGCCCCCCTCCTGAGTCCTCAGTGTTTATGGGGAAGCTCACGATGAGCTTATGATTGTTCTTTCTGATCCAGATAAGCTTGTCACTAGTTTGTAAATTAGTCTGCTGAAATGACACCGCTCAGAGAAGATATCCCAGAATTTTCTTGAAAGGCCTGCCTGGCAGTCATTCATGCAATACAGTTTCTCTTTGGGTTTAGAGGAGCTAAATAACAATACACCCACACAATAATCCCCCCCCCCATCGTTAATTATCTTACCAAACTGGAGAAAGAGATTCTGTATTTTCTTCTTTTTAAGACACAATTCGCTACATGTCTGCTCGGCGTTCAGGACAAGAACAGTTCTTGTCATTAATTTTTGGCTCTCTTTAAGATAGTTGCTTGACTTGTCTATCTAAATAGTGTTTGTGTCTGCTTGACATTTATATATCTGAAAGCCTTTGGAATCTAGAGTTTCATCCAACACTTAAGATTTTGAACACCCCATTATTCTAAACAAGAATAAATAAAGCCGTCAGGTACTCCTGGCCCTGGATCAATTTTGATTAAAATGAGCTTTATGGAGTAAATAAGTGGTCTATATCACTGTTGCAACATCTCTGGGAAAATACAATAAAAACTATTTGTTGTTGTTTTTTACTCAGCACACTTTTCTGAATCTCAAACTGAGTAATAGCTCTGTTGGTGTTACAGGGCAGATGAAGCAATCTTTTATCATCTGATGACCTCTAGTTAAAATGTTTTGCCAAGATAGGGAAACTGCAAGGCTGAAGACCTAAGATGCCAGGTCCACTTCTTCAACAATTGTTGTGTTTTCATCCTTACTTCGTCAGGGAACATCATTAACATTGATCACAATGGCTGTGCTCTTTTATCTCTGGTCGGGGACAGAGGGTGGCGCTAGGGAGGGAGATGTCATTGCACCATTCCTTGGTGTGTGGAGTGCCGCAGGGCGCAATCCTCTCCCCGATGCTTTTCAACATCTTTATGTGCCCCCTTGCCCAGATTGTCCGGAGCTTTGGGCTGGGTTGTCACCAATATGCTGATGACACTCAGCTCTATCTGCTGGTGGATGGCCACACCGACTCAGCCCCGGACACATTGAACAGATGTTTGGAAGCTGTGCCTGGATGGCTGCCTGGGAGCCGGTTGAAGTTAAATCCTTCAAAGACAGAGGTCCTCTGGCTGGGTCAGGATGGCATGGGAATGAGGGACCAACTCCCTTCTCTTGCAGGGGCCCAATTAGCTCCAGTGCCTTCCGTTAAGAGTTTGGGTGTAATCCTTGACGCCTCCCTTTACATGGATGTGCAGGTTACAGCAACAGCCAAGGTGACATTTTTTTTCATCTTCACCACATTAAGCAGTTGGTCCCTTATCTTTCCCGCCCCGACCTGGCCACAGCGATCCATGTGACAGTCACCTCCAGGCTTGACTACTGTAATTCGCTCTACACGTGGCTGCCCTTGAAGCTGTCCCACAAACTCCAGCGGGTGCAGAATGCTGCGAGGCTCCTCATGGGGTTCCCTCCATGGGAGCATATTCACCCAGTGCTTTACCAGTTGCACTGGCTCCCGGTGGAGTATAGGCTCAGGTTGAAGGTGCTTGTTTTGACCTTTAAAGCCCTTTCTGGATTAGGGCCCTCATATTTACGGGACCGCCTCTCCTGGTATGCCCCGCAGAGGACCTTAAGGTACATGAATAACCATAGTTTAGAGGTCCCGGGCCTTAAGGAAGTCAGACTATCCTCCACCAGGGCCAGGGCCTTCTCAGTGATGGCTCCGACCTGGTGGAATGCTCTGTTCCATGAGACTAGGACCCTTCAGGATTTAACCTCCTTTCATCAGGCCTGTAAGACAGAGCCATTCCACCTGGCCTTTAATTTGAATTCAGCCTGATCTTTTATTTCCCTTCTCTTCCCTCCCCCTCCCCTTTTATAAAGATTACCCTCTCTGAGACCCCACAGCTAATTCTCCCCTGGCCTCCTCGCTGGCCCAAGTAAGACTAATTCAGCCAGCTAGCCCTGGTGACTATCCAATGCTTATTAGATGGATTTTCCCCAAATTGATTTCTGAACTTTGAATTTTATTGTTATTCATGTTTTTATACTGCATTTTATGCTGCTTCTACAATTAAGTGTTTTAAATTTGTTGTTAGCTGCCCTGAGCCCAGTTTTCTGAACCGGGAAGGGCAGGGTATAAATAAAAAATTATTATTATTATTATTATTATTATTATTATTATTATTATTATTATTGGGAACTTATAAAATGAAGGTCTTAAGATGTAGACCTCCCTATTTACGATGAGTGCCGCACCCCATAGTCAAATTGGACAAGGCTTAACTATCCAGAGATACCTTTTTGCATTTGTATCCCACTTTTTTTAACTAAGTAATACAGAAAATTCACCGTATGGATGATACAGACCAGCTTTTTTTTTTTTTTAATACTTTTTATTGTATTTCCTTCATCACATACATCCAAAAAAAAGAACACAGTCATAAAAAGACATTAAAGGTTAGATATTAAACGCTAAAAGAGCATTAGATAGAAAAAGAAAAAATAAAGAAAAAAGAGCAGAAGAAAAGAGTAGAGAAAAAACATATATCACACATTTACTTCGACTTCCTTCCCTCCTGATTTCGGGTTTTTACTTTTAATATGTTCGTCTTACAGCTGGTGTTGGTTTTTAGTTTATGGTTCGTAACATCGGAAGAGTTAAATCAGACCTACTGCAGTTGTTAGGTTACCAAAATCACCTTCACTATATACTATAAATTTATTCCAGTCCTCTTTCAACTTTGTATTTTTTTGATTTCTAATTCTTTGCGTCATTCTTGCCAATTCTATAAAATCATATAGCTTCAGTTGCCAATCCTTCACCGTTGGTATAGTTGGGTTTTTCCAATTTTGGGCAATTAACATTCTAGCCGCAGCTGTTGCATATTGGAACAGGGTTTTGTCTTTTTCTGGTATTTCTTTTCCTACCATCCCAAGTAAAAAGGCCTCTGGTTTTTTGGGGAATGTGAGTCTAAATATTTTTTTTAATTCATCATATATTTGATTCCAAAATTTTTTTATTTCCTCACATGTCCACCACATGTGTATAAAGTTCCCTTCATTCGTTTTACATCTCCAGCAAGCCTTGTTACCGGTCTTGTACATCCTATTTAGTTTTTCTGGCGTTAAATACCATCTGTATATCATCTTTTCTAAATTTTCTCTAATTGCTACACTTGCTGTAAATTTTATTCCCTGATTCCATAATTTCGACCAATCCTCGTATTCTATATTGTGCCCCAAGTCTCTTGCCCACTTTACCATAACTTCTTTAATTTCTACATCTTTAGTATCCTCTTCCAATAACATATTATACATTTTGGATAATAATTTAGATTTACTTTCAATTATTTCAATTTGGAATTTTGATTTCTTTTCGCTCATTCCTACTTTTTTGTCTTCCGTCCATCTTGCGTTGATCTGATGGTACTGTAACCAACCCTTCAGCTTTCCTTTCAATTCCTCGTACGGTCTTAGTTTCCAGTTTTCACGGGAGCTTATCAGTAAATCTTCATATGTTAGATTTTTCTCTTCCGAGTTTGTTTTTTTAAATGATAAAATGTCTATTGGGGACAACCACCAGGGTGTTCTTGGTTCTAACAGTTTTTTATTCCTTTCCCAAACTTCGTATAGTGGGCCTCTAATGATGTGATTCGAGAAGCCCTTATGTGTTCTTCCTTTACTTAACCAAAGGTAGGCGTGCCAGCCCCACCTGTTGTCTGCACCTTCAAGCTCCAATAGATCCGAGTTCTCCAAAGTTATCCAGTCTTTCACCCAACATAGGCAAGCCACTTCATAATATAGTTTTAAGTTGGGTACCGCCATTCCCCCTCTCTCCTTTCGATCTGTAAGTAGTTTGTATCTGATCCTTGGCCTTTTCCCCTGCCAAATAAATCTTGAGAGGACTTTCTGCCAATCTTTAAAAATTTTAGTCCCTCTAATGACCGGGATGTTCTGAAAAAGGAACAACATCCTGGGGAGGGTGTTCATTTTTATTGC